GGAGGAGGAGGAGGAGGAGGAGGAGGACGACGACGACGAAATGGGACGAGAGTGGAAGCATCGCAAGAGGCTGGTTGAGGGCAGAGGGCGACAGGAAATGGGGCAAGGAGAAATTTTCCGAGAAAAAACGAAGAGAGGAGGGAGGGGAAGTGCTGGGGCAAGGAGAGCAGCAGTCTAACCAGTTGCTCCAGTCTTGCTCTGTCGCTCACTGCCCGCCAGATCGACCAGGTTCAACTACAACGTCGCCCATCACTCTTGACGTCGGTAGCGTGCGATCAAGTCACCTTTCCCGCTCGGATATGCTTCGACCCATCTGCGTGCGTTGCCGAACTCTCGATGATGATGGTGAAGATGCTGTGGGACCTGGAAGAATCCTGCAGGAGGAGGGAAAGGAGGAGCAAAGAGGAGGGAGAAGGAGGGAGGCAAGGGGAGGGAGGACGGAGGAGGACGGAGGACGGAGGAGGAGGAAGGATGAGAGTAGTGGGAGAGGAGGTATGAAGAAAATCAAAAGGAAAGTGAGACAACGCGGGTTATTCAAAGTTCTCGACATGCAGACATGCCTGATTCATCAAAGTAGCTCCAACCGAACGGTTTTTCTTCCCCGCAAGCAGCACGTTCTCCATCTCAGTCACGCCCTTCACCACGTAGGATGTGAGGTCCTTCACTGCACCACCAGCCATCAGAGCAAGGTCGAGCCAGGGCCTTGGGAGTGTTACCGTACACCCCCCGCTCGACGTCCTCCTTGAGTTCAAGCTTGTTCTTCGGGTCCTTGGACAGCAAGTCTCGTACTTCCTCGTTGTAGATCTCGAGGTACGAGGCCCGGACAAGGAAGTTCTGCAGCGAACGAGCCAGGGGTCACGGGCCCACCTCGCCGACATGCATCGACTGACCTGATCGTGGGTGACCTCTATGCTTTCGAAGATATGACAGAAGGAGCGGGGAATGATACCTGGCACGTACAGTTAGGACTCCTGCTCCTGCTCCTGCTCCTGCTCCTGCTCCTGCTCCTGCTCCTGCTCCTCCTTGTTCTCCTCGTCTACCTCTCATCTCGGCGGGTTCCCACAATCCTTCCATCGTGTGTGTCTTCCCCGTTCCTGTCTGTCCGTATGCAAAGACGGTTCCGTTGTATCCCTGCGAAGGTAAAAGAGTTGGGAGTAGAGGACGACAATGAGGTAGACAAGGAGGAGGAGGAGGAGGAGGAGGAGGAGGAGGAGGAGGAGGAGGAGGAGGAGGAGGACATTGAAATCAGCTGACTATTTCTCTACTGCAAGAAATCGCCTACCTGTACAACTGAGTCGACGATGGGTCTTGCTGTGGTCTCGAAGAGGAACTGTTGGTCTGTCGCGTGATCATACACCTGCCGACATGTCAAGGGGCAACGAGAGGAGGGAGACGTAGAGACTTGATCGAAAGTGAAAGGCTTCGGTTGCTCTCTCGTGTCTGTAGAGGCAAACGGTGAGACGGGAGAGGGAGAGGGAGGAAAAGGGTGGGGTTTTGCTTGCATCAACCTTCAGGGTTCTTCAGCCAGACTTCTCCCGTCTTCGTGTCCATTTCGACGATGCGGATTCTTCATGTTTGCAAGTCAGAGTCGGACAACAGGCTGTGGATACTCGGTTCCATACCGCTGGTCCTCCACCTCCTTCCTTGACATGGGACGGCATCTTACCACCACCTTCGGGCACCCGAGGGATCAGACAAGCATCTTCAGGTCAACACGACTTACCTTCACGCACTCGGGATCTTTCTTGGACGTCAATGGCACCGGCGCCATGGCTGAGGAATTTCAACCTGCGCGCCATTGGAAGGTGAGGATGCGGGAAAAGCTCAAGCGTTCCTCTGCCATGCTGCTCTCGTCCTCTTACTGCTGGAGGTTCCTCCTTCCTTCATCAGCGCCTTTACTTGCCTTCCCCGCTTGACTCACTTGCTCTCCTATCCTCCCTCTTCGCTTCCCGCCATTTCTCAATCCAACCGCCGTCGCTTCACGACAGCCGGCATGAAGAAACATAGCACTGTGAAACTAATGTTATCCACAACATCCTTTCCTCTCTTCCCTCCCTCTTCCTTCCTCCTTCCCCCTCCTCCTCCTCCTCCTCCTCCTCCTCCCTCATCTTTTTTCGCTCTTCCCCCTTCATATTTTTTTTTCTTTTTTCTTCCTTTTTTGAACTTTCAAAATATCGAGTCTGCCTCGTTGTATCAATAGAAAAATATCAAAGGCAGAAAAGTATTGTGACTATTTGTTTCCTCCGGTTGAGGGAAGGGAAAGGGCAGCAGCAAACAACCAGGGCAAAACGGAGCAGGGAGAAACATCGTACAGGACAGGACAGGACAGGACAGGACAGGACAGGACAAAGGGCTCTCAGCTCCATGCGGTGTTGATGAGATGGAGTCCTCCTCAAGCTCCTTCAAGTTCGATCAAGATGGCGCAGACCAGCACCAAGATGCGGCATGGTTGAAAACGGCTGAGCAAGAGGTTGCTCTGGACACGGGCGTGTTCGGAGAGGCTGAGCAAAAGTTGGACGAACTGATCAGAGACTACATCCAACTCCGGGTTGCTCCTTCGGTGATACCTGACGCTCCATCTACTTGTTCTCATTCCCGGCCCACCCAACATGATGAGAAATCCTTGGCGTCCTCCTCCTCCTCCTCCTCCTCCTCCTCCTCCTTCACCACCACCACCACCTCATCATCATCATCATCATCATCATCATCGTCATCGTCATCGACATTGTCGTCATTGTCGTCGTCGTCGCCATCACAGCCGCACCAACACCAACACCACCACCAACATCACGACCTCCATCTGTTTATGATCTCCATCGCCATCTCTTCCGCATGATGCTGATCGTGTTGCAGTCACAAGGAGTTCAGGCGGCGATCCATCTCCTCGGCGAGTCATGGGCCGCGAAGAACCTGCCAGATGTAGAGGTTGCGCCTTCGTTCCTGCTTCCTCCCTTCATGTGAGGACGGTGCACCTTGGTACCTGTCAACTGACGTCCTTGCAAGCTCTTCTGCAGACAGAGACACGCTCATCGAGCAGGTGCGAACAAATCCCGTCCTCCCGTCCTCCTTCTCCTCGTCCTCTCACCCAAGACCAACAGACCAGGCAAAATTTGATCGAGGAGGTGGAGAATCTGCCGAACGAGATGACGAGTCAGCTTGAGAGGTGGTCAAACTCAAGACATCCGTCTCCTCTATCTATGCCCTTGCTCCCCACCCTGACCCCTCTCAAGCCTTCAAGTCTCTCCTCTCCTCCTCTGCCCTGCCTCTCCTCTCCTCCCCCTCCCCCCCTCTGCTATTGCCATCCCCGCAACTCTACTCCTCCTCTCCCTCATTTTTCAATCTCCGTCCTCCTCTCACTGATTTTTGCGCCTCAACGCATAAATGTGCTCAAGTTCATGTTGATCTCATGTATCACAGGAGCATAGAGTCGAGATTGAAACAGAACCTCCGACGACATCTCCTTGGTAAACGAGAGGCCTACAATTCCATGAGCGAGCTCAAGGAGGAGGCGAGTTCTCAACCTCCTCCTTCCACCTTCCTCTTCCTCCACCACCTTCCACCTTCCTCCTCCTCCTCCTCCTCCTCCACCACCACCACCACCACCTTCCACCTTCCTCCTGCTCCTCCACCACCACCACCACCTTCCTCCTTCCTCCTCATCCTCCTCCCCCTTTCCCTTATCCTCCTTTCCATTATCCTCCTTTCCATTATCCTCATGCTGTTCTCTTTTGCTTCCACTATCTTGGCTACTCTTGACATCTCGCGTCAGACGAGAAACTCTGTCGGGGCGGCCCTTGCAGCGATCTGGTTGCAGCAGCCGCACGTTCAGGTGCCTTGGCAAGCCGAGGATGCGAGAGGGGTTGAAGAGAGGCAACATGCAGGAGCAGCACATGCAGTCCTTGTCCGGCATGCTGCTCCCCGGTGAAGAGGAAAGAATTTCATCCTCGTCGTCCTCACGCTCTCTGTCTCACAGAGCCGTTGCGAGCTCACATCTGGAGATTCAAGTTAGGCAAGAATGCTTTGCTCCTCGCTGGCGCGCCATCCTCATTTGTCCTTGAACTCTTTTGACATCTCTCCATCGTTGCTGCTTCCTGTCCTCCTCCCCATCCTTTTCCTCTCTACCTTCTCTCCACCTCTACCTTTTCTGCTACCTCCTCCTCCGTCGATTGTCCTTTCTGCATCATTTTTATCCTTGGTGATAATCATTCAGGCGGACCTGCCAAATACGTTGAGATTGGAACCACCCTGTCCAAGAAGGTCCGGTTTCGTCCTCCCATCCTCCCCTCCTGTCCTCGCTTCTCCTCTCCCTCTTACTCCTCCCCTTCTCCTCCCCTCCCCTTCCTCCCCTCCCTTCCTCCCCTGTCCTCTCCTGTCTTCTTCCTGCTCAGTCCTCCGGCAGCTGGACAAGGCTGGACAGTCCTTGGAGGACGTCGAGAAGAATTCGTTGCGTCCCATTATCTTCCGCACAGGGACAGAGATGTACTCTTCTCATCAAGTGATGAGTGAAGTTGGAACTTCTGGTCTCCCTTCTCCTTCCTCCTCCTCCTCTTGGTCCCTCACCCCCGTCCTCCAGGGGCTGTCAACAGCGCCTGCTCCGTCCTCCTCCGCCTCCATCTCATCACTGGGCAGGAAAGGTTCATGCCCACTGACCACCCGACTCTGACTTCCTCCTCGCAGAAAGCAAAGTTTGAACGCCACCTCCTCCTCCTGGGACCCATCTTCAGAGTCTTTCCTGTGTGCTTGACAGCTCCTCGTCCTCATTCTTTGATATCGTGCCCTCCCTCCCTCATTCACTCACCCACTCGCTCACTCGCCTCCTCTCCCCTCCCTCTCCCCTCTTCTCCCTCTCCCTCTCCCTCTCCCTCTCCCTCTCCCTCTCCCTCTCCCTCTCCCTCAAGCTGACTGTGCACTCTCAGTGCAAGCATCCTGAGGAGAAAGACTTCTGCTGGTGGCTCGCGTGCTTGATGGAGGTTGAGGAGATGAGGACGGGCGGCAGTTGACCTGCCTGCAGGTTGACAAGCTGATCCTTCACGGAGAGGCACTCCACGAGCAAGCGATCAGCATGACACGCAAGGTCCGAGAGCGTGGGGGAGGGGCCACAGGTAACGGCCGAGCAGATCAAGAGCATGGACGAACCTCTCGCCGCACTCCTCGCCAAGCTCTACATGGCCGACAAGAGGAAGGGTCAGTCAGCTCAGTCCTTGGCACAGGATGACTTGAAGGCAGGAGGCGAGGGCTTCAAGGACGACAAACAAGCTGAGGAAGGCGTCGCCTTGCTCTTCGAGCCATGGCTGGACACAGGCCTTGCAGGCTACCTCGGCATGCAGCCACTGTGCTGGTGTTGGGATCAGGTGAGAGTTCCTTTTACCCGCCAGCACCTCAAGACCGTCGCAGTGCTTCCTCAAGGGATGGCACATCCTCCCTCGCCTCTGCATCGGCCTGGCCCTCAGGCTTTCAGGTTTATCTCCTTCCTAGTTCCTCAAGTGAGATCAGCGTGCAGTGGAGCTGCGGAGATGCAGTACATGGGAGGCCTGCGAGTCAGGTATGGGGACACTTGGACTTGATCCGGCCTGTTTCCAATCAAGAATGCTTCTCAGTCGTACGAAACGGCCTTGCTCGAGTTCACATTCACCAGCTCCAAGAGATTCTCAAGAGCGACAGCTGAGCCTAAGGTCCGTCTGTCTGCAAGGATTTGTATTTCAACATGTTTATTTGTATTTCCTGCAACCAAGAGATTTAAATCTTCTCAGCGGATTACTGGGAGACGCACAGCCAAGAGCGGGTGGAACATTCACAACCCTCATCCATACATCCCTCAGCTCAACAATTTTGATTGACAGACAACAACACAGTCTGATCACCCATCCCAGGCAATGCTAGAGTCTATCAACAGAAGAGAACACACATCAATCGCCAACCCTCCACCGTGAGCCGCTCGTCTCCATCTCCGTCGCTCCTCGCCGGATAGAGTGTCCGTGAAGATCGCAGACTCTCCTCGCTCGACAGGAGATGGAGAACATAGAGGTCAGCCATCAAAGATAGCACATCAAAGTGGGCATTCACATCTATTACCCTACTGAATATTCTCTCCGACTCCGAGCTGATTGCCCCTTGCCCGACGGGTTGATGATCTGTGGCAATGAAAAACGAGGTTAATGCACTCGCTTATCATTGCCACTAACCAAAAGTTCGTAGTCAGGATATGCACGTACAAATTCTAGGATCTTGTGCAACGTCGAAACAAAGAAGGTCGAAAGCTCAGGTGTGGTCGCACGACATCCGATGAAGCTCTTCGTGCGTTGGCCATCGATAGGTCTCCATGAATTCAAAGCGGCTCAGACATCATGCTTGAGGAAGGGATGCCGGAGGGCATCCGAAACTTTGATCCTCTTTTCTGGATCCAAAATGAAGATTTGCTCCAGAAGATCCGCAAATTCTTTCACCTGCACCAAATCAGACACGTTCTCAGGAGAGACATAAATCAAAACCTCACCTTCTTGAGATTGTCACTTTCTGCTTTGTGCTTCAAGATGCTTTCCAGAATCTTCTTGTTAGGTCTGTCGTATCGAATCTTCTGTATGATCTCTTGTTTTGTGACCAAATCTCGCGTCAAATATTTGAAGAAAATGTCTGCCTTATCTTCTTCGAAATGCTGGTCGAAAAACTGACACCGTTTGAGGAGTTTTTTCGATGGGATACCTTTGTAGTCCTGTCATATAATCAGCCGTACATGTAGGAAAACAAAGAATATTCACCATGAATTGCTTCAACATTTCATTGTTGTTCCGACCAGTGAACATGAATTTTCCTGTGTAAAGCTCGAAAAGACACACTCCAACAGACCACAGGTCCATCCCATAGCCATATTTCAATCCTAGACATATCTCTGGAGGACGGTAGTAACGCGAAACCATGTACGGCGTTATGACACACTCTGTTATCCAATCGGCAGTTCCAAAATCACATATCTGCACCGTCTTCAGATCCTTGGAAATCAAAATGTTGTCTAATTTGATATCACCATGCACTACCTCACATTTCTGCATATGCAACAATCCGATAAAAAGTTGGCGCGCAAAAGCACGAATAGCTTGAAGAGTGATACCAACTTCCCTGCCATAAGTCTTGAGAAGCTTTCTAAGATTCATCTCCATTGGATGGAACACCATGCAGAGGTGACCTTTGTATTCGAAGTGTGAAAGCAACTTACAAATATGCTTTCGACCTTCAGGATCCTCGTTGCCCAAGCGCTTCAGTACATCGATCTCTTTCTTACCAGCGTTATACATCGTTTCATTTGAGCGAATCATCTTGATTGCAACCTCCCGATTTTCTTTTTGATCTTGAGCACTCAGAACTGTGCTGTAAACTCCATTCCCAATATCACGATTGACAAGATATCTATTGATGATCAACTCTCCTGGCCGGGTGCGGAAATATCCTTCAGCATCATCCCAGTTGTCGGCATTTGTGAAACCAGCCGTAAGGTCGAGACGAGGCTCCCCAACTCCATCACCATCAGCAGGGGTCTCATCAGCAATACCATTGGTATCATCATCATCGCTGCTCTTCCGCGCAATTGGACGGAGAGGCGAGTCACTGAACATGTCGTCCCCGTCCGACTCAGAATCCTTCGTGTTGTTCTCTGTTGCTTTCTTTGATTCAGAAGTGGAGGCATGATTACCATGTTCCTGTCCATTAGCGTCTTCACTTTCTTTTTCTGACGACTTTTGTGCTTCTGGTGCACTTGCGTTTACCTGGACGGAATTCGAATTTTCTTCATTTTTGTCAGCCGTTGCGGGTTGTGCAGAAGATTGCACTCTGCTCACATTCGGAGAAGCATTGGCCGCCCCTGCTTTGTTCTTGAATTTGGCAAGAATGGCCTCTCGCTTCTTGCGAATTGTTTCCTCGTCCTCTTCTTCTTGCAGCATGACAGGTTCGCCTTCGTCATCAGCATCTTTGTGATCCTTTTTCTGGCTCTCTCCATTCTCTCTGTCTTTTTCCCTGTCTCTGTCTTTGTTTCTGTCCCTGTCGTGTCTATCCCGGTCTCGGTCCCTGTTCCTGTCGCGATCCCTGTCCCTGTCTCTTTCCCTGTCCCTGTCCCTGTCCCTATCTCTGTCCCTGTCCCTGTCACGATCCCTGTCCCTGTCCCTGTCCCTGTCACGATCTCTGTCCCTGTCCCTTCTGTCTCTGTCACGATCCCTGTCTCTGTCGCGATCCTTGTCACGGTCACGATCCCTATCGCGGTCCCTGTCTCTGTCCCTATCCCTGTCCCGATCTCTGTCTCTATCCCTCCTGTCTCGCTCTTTATGACGATCGCGATCGCGATCGCGATCGCGCCTGTCGCTCTCTGCATATCTATCGTAGCGATCCGTCCTTTCCAGTGCATCGATAGAGTAGTTAAGACCTTCATAGGAGATCCGTTTGTCTCGCTCCCTGTCTCGATCAGCTTTGCCTTTCTCCCTGCTACGGCTCCTGTTTCGACTCCTGCTCCTGCTTCTTTCTCGATCACTCTTATGCCTCTTTTTGTCACGATCTTCAGAATCACCGTCAGTTCTCCTTTTCTCGTCTACGAAAGGATGTTCAGCAAAAGATGCAAGAAATGCAATGAATACCTTTGGACACGTCTACCTCACGCATCTCGCCATCTTCGGTCTCCAAATCGTTGGCAGGCATCCTTGGTTAGGTACTTCAATCAATATATCACACCAAGGATAATATGCCTTCTGTCCAGAGATCTCCTGTTCTTAGCTTACGTCAATGCCCAATTAACAGAGCAGTAGACTCAATTGCACCGATTAGCGAAAGAAACTATCGGTCTTCCCGACTGTGGCCGTGAAAGAAATGCTCAACTCCCAGAGATCGCGCAACAGAGAAAAAATTTCTGACCAGTTTCTCCGGGAGTAAACAGACCAATACTCGTCGATAGAACGAGTGGTTCAGGTTGGCCTCCTCGACCTGGTCAGCTGCTACACCTGCACAATGGTGAGTGCATTCCCACAGACAATGCAACCTTATCAATCATTCTAATCCTGAACGTGCTGTTGCTTCTTGCTTGCTTTACGTTCTACCTTATCAAATACACAACAGTTGCGATTTTCATCCTTACTCTCTATCATTTGGACTTCTTCCTCTTCTATGAATGCGATCAATCCCTGACACAATTTGTTCAACCTCATTCTCTCTACACCATCACGCCCTCCTTCAAGTATGATCGTTTTGCTTCCTTCATTTCTCAGCTTCCAACCGGCATTCATCCCCCATCCACGTCCTCTTTCTACCTCCACTCGCATTTTCCGCGCCATCCTCTCTCTGCAGGGACAGCTGTACTCCTAAAAGGGGTGGGTAGTCTTCGAACCCCAAATGAACCCCCCACCCCATGTAGGCACTCAGATCAGATAGAGAACATCGGGTTCATTCTGGGAAAAGTACCGGTTATATATCTTTTGAACCCCCACCCTACCCCCTACCCCCACCCCAAACCTTATAAATATATTGTAACGAAGTTGGTACACAGGATAGGTGTCCAATAAATTATGCCAAACATATATGTACCATAATTGAATTTAATAATTATTTATCTAAATGGAAGGTAACTCAATATTGAAAAATAGTTTTTAAATTATAATGAGTGAATGTTGAAAACAATGGTAGGGGGTTCAAGAATACTACCATGCAGGACGGAAAAATCTGGATTGTCACGGGGGTAGACACTCGCGTGCGGGAGAAATAGAATAGTTTTACTTTAAAACAAAATACACAGTACAAAATAATTTGTTTATATTGTATTTAAATGTTCTTTCTTGAGGCAGAACCGTTTTTAAAACTGTAGCCAATGAAGAATTTACTCATCCAATTTTCACAGGAGATCACACATAATTTCATTTCATTCAACTAATGTAGAATGTTTAGTGTTATTTCAAAATATCCAATGAAAGCTTTCGAGGGGTCTCCAATCACCACCTTAAAAAAAAATCTGCCTCGCTCCCTCGTGCATCCCCCTCCGCAATGGCGCCTGTACAGGTAGGATCAACAGCTCGCGCTCGCCGGCTCCGCCATGATCACATTATGATGATCGAGTGTTTATCTATCGTAACTCTTTGCTATGGTATCTGCAGACCACTTGTGATGACTGGTTCCATGGTTGACAGCACTTTTACACGACGCAATGCTAATGTTTCCAAGATTGCAGCACACATTACACCCTGATGTTGTTGGTTGTCATCGTTTTGTTCCCTGTTTCTGTTAGCAAAACTGTATCTGTTCCCTGATTTCTGCACATCGATGTATGGATTGTCATGGAATACCTCTGAACAGTCTCCTCGTGCACGCGGATGAGAAACATCAACATTACACTACACTTGCGCGAGTGACATGCACTTCCCACCTTTCTCTTGATTGCTTCTCGCTTGCGTTTATTTGGAATATGTGAATGGAACAACCATATTTGGAGCGTATGCGCTCCCACGGGCCTCCAAACTGATGTTTGGATTGCAGAAGAAGGCACCAGTCAAGGGCAAAGGTCCTGCCTCCAAGAAGAAGCAGGGACACAAGTTTGTCATCGACTGCACCACAGCCGAGACGGACTCCATCCTTGACACCAGCCAGTTTGTGAGTGCAGCATCGCTGTTTGCAAGTTCTGGAGGCCGGCTGACGGGTTGGGTCTGCAGGAGAAGTACCTCAAGGAGAAGATCAAGGTCGACGGCAAAGCGGGCAACTTGGGGGACACTGTTGCAATCAGCCGAGACAAGAGCAAGATCGTGGTCACCGTAAGTGCTTTACCTCGGAAGATGTGGTTGCCCTGATATTCAACAAGGCTGAGGGCCTCTTCTCCAAGAGATATCTTAAATATCTGTCGAAGAAGTTCTTGAAGAAGCTACAGGTGACGAATGACAACTAACAGCTTCTTTGCTGATCGCTCGTTTGCAGATGAGGGATTTCTTGCGTATTGTGTCCACTAACAAGTCCACATACGAGCTCAAGTATTACAACATCCAGGAGGTACTTTCAGAGATTGTCAGGGAAACTATGATGCTGATTGCTTTTTTCAGAATGACGATGATGCTGGTGACGAATAGATTATTCAATAAACTTTGTTTTTGGTCTGAAACTGAATGGAGAAAATGTACCTTTGTGTGCTTCCCCTACGCTGAAGAAATGGATCTCATGCTCTTGAACCTACACTCATATCATCTAATTGTGTAGACTTTGCATACTGCACTGAGAATACACATAGCTTGCCATATGGTAAACTTTAGCCAATGATCTTTTCAAATGGCCCAAGCAGAAGGCCACCCTCGTAATCGACAGGGAGGCAGTTAGGTAGCCACGGTTTCAAGTTTCCTGCTTCCGGGCCTGCTGGCCGCGTCGGGCCCGGGCCCACCGGCGCAGTGCACTGCGGCAGACTGATGACGCCGCGAGGGCACCGGGCTGCGCCGCAGCCTCCCCTGGTGACAGTTCCGAGACTTGCGACTCTATGAAGTTCATCATACAGATCTACTATGAGTTAGAGCAGTCACTGCCAGTGCCAGGGCCCGATGATGATAGACTCAGTGGATCGCACTGCCGCATGCGAGCCGTGCCAGTCAAGCTCGGATACTTGCGGCCCCCAGTTAACAAAACTCTCCTGTAAAACAAAGGCGACCCTGACGTGTTGCGAGGCTTTCTGAACACCCTAGCATAACGTGACAGTCTATCTCTCATGTGCTCCTCAACTAGGCCCCTGTTTCGTGTGCGGTGATTAGCAAAAATCGGGCCTGTGCGGCAATATACTGTGACTTGCTACTTGCAAAGTTTCGGAGCAACTCAGAGACGCCATCATGACTTGTACCGGCCCGGCCCGCCGGGAACTTGCCCGGCCCGGGCGCAGTGCCCGCCGGGCAAGTTCAGTACCCCCTCCAGAGCCTGCCTCAGACATTTTCAAGAAGACACAACAAAGGAATAAACGGTCTTATTAGTAACGAACAGGGCAGTAGTCAAGCTGTCAAATTTCTGGAATGGCGAGCGAGGATCGAGGCCCGCGCAGAGGAACATGGAGGAGGGGGGGGGGGGAGGGGGGAGAGATGGGAAGGAGGGAGGAGCTCTTGAAGGAGTATGGAGGGAAGTCAGGGGGAAGGCAAGAGCGAAGATGAACAAAGAGGAAGGTGTGGGTAAAGGAAAGCATTACGGACTATGGGTCAGATGATACAGGGAAAGAGTTGAAGGTTCCAGAAAAACTATGATAGTTGCGTTTGATCATCGTCTGGAGCATGTGAAGGCAGATCTCGTCATGAATGTCTTTGCTCGCAGGTCGTACTTGCCAGGCCAGCATCATGGTCCAGTTCTTCTGGGAATGTGCAGATGACTCTGCCGTTCCTGTGAAGATGAACATCCAGGCCGATCACCTGGGACATGTCAAAGATGCGCTGGCCAATGCAGCGAACAAGAAGGTGAGGAGAAGGGGAAAGGAGGGAAGGTGTGCGATGCTAAATGGAGGGGCAGGTGGAGGATCTCGGCGTTTTGTACTTCTTCGACACGAGCGTATCACGTTGGGTTGAGCTCCGCGCTTTAGCGCAACTTGCCAACAATGCCGACCAGCCAGCGAAGATTTGCTGCCATGAGGTCCCCGGCCTCGAGCGAGGAGAACGAATCTTACTCCTGCATGCAGGGACCTTCGCCCGTGCAGCAAGACTTCCCGAAGCCTCGGCTCGTGGTGTTGTCGAGAGACAGCCAGGAGTACAAGTTTGTGGAGGTTGAAATGCAGAGGTCTACCATGATCGCACCTACCTCTCCTCTTCGTCACCGACGTATGTTGTCAGGTACATGTTCAAAGAACGGTGCAACCTGGAGATCGATTTCATTGAGCGAGTGGAGAACGTCCCGCTGACGGTGCTGGCGGGTGAGCTGACAAAACTTGTTTGATCATCATGCTTGCAGACAAGGTTTCAAGCGCAAGTCGCTTCTCTCAAAAAGCCCAACAACCGACTGAGTTTGATCTACAATGGTGGGGGTTGAAACCTGTTCTTGCGACGACGATGATTTTTTCCGTCTTTCTTCAGCCTTCGGTGCTGGGAAGAGTTTTGTGAGGAGCATCTGTAAGAATGGATTCCAGCGCAACGTTTGGCAAGAGGTTGTAGTGAATGGAGGGGGAAATGCATGTATGAAGTGCCGAGGTTTGATGGCTGGGAGGATTGAGTTGAAGACGATGATGATGACGGCCTCGATTAAGATGGAGATGACGATGGCGAAAACGATGAAGATGATGTTTTCCTGCTTTCCAGGGAGATTTTGGTCCAGGAATATACTTCGTGTCGCATGCTGTGAGGACGCGTCGCAATCTTGAAACGTGCTGACTTTCCTGTAGCCGATTGAAACGCCACAATACTGCAACTCATTTATGCTGCTACTCTGCGAGGTATGCTGACCACGTCTGATACTTTCATGTTATGGATATTGACAGTCTTCTTATCAGGTGGCTGTGGGTATGATGATGGAAACTCCTGCGAGTGCAGGGGCACAGGACTCCTCGGTCTTCAAGGTACAGCATGTTACTTGCCTGTTTTCAAGAAACGTTGCTACAGTAGCCTTGTCACGATATAATCTTGTCCGTGTTTGGCAGGACATGGACGTTGAGGCGATCCGGCGAGCTGGTTTTGATTCCATCAGAGTGTTTGATGGAGAGGCAGCGAACTCGCAGGTGGAAGGAGAGAGAGTGATGGTGCGTTGTTGCTGATGCTGTTGAAAGGGTTTACATGTCATCTACCATCCGTATCAAGCCCTGCCGAGGTATGTGTGATGTTTGACTTGAATGCACACTTGTTGTGTCCGGTTGATTGTGGAAAGATCAATCGCTTGCCACGATCATTCTCAACTGACCGATCTCTTTCTCCTCCTCTTCTGCTTATACCAGATACGTGGTTGCCTTCCGCAAGTCGATGGACGATTCTCGGTCTCCCATCAGTCGGTGTCCTCCTTACAGTTTCCGCCACTGAATCCCTACACAGCACCGTCATCCCGAGCAAGAAACTCCTCCTCCTCCTCCGCCTCCTCCTCACTCCTCTCCTCTCCTCCTCGCTCCCTCAACTTCTCCAACGCAGAAAGGACCCTGTGATGCTCCGCAGTGTCAGCATCGACTCTGACACGTCCCTAGGGAGTTGGAGAGGAAAGCCAAGGAAGCAGATGCGCTTGCAAGGGAGGTAACCAGTCGAAATGAGGACGAAAATGTTTCCTGCTGCTCTTTACACCTCCTCCTTGTTCTTTCTCTCCTCGCTGCTAACCCCCCCGCTCCCACGTTCCTTCTTCTCATCCTCCTCCTTCTCGTCCTCCTTGTAGTTCTCCTCCTTCTCCCTCAGTTGTCTTCCTCATCCCCTCCCTTCGCATCATCTCGTTCCATCATCTGATTCATCCTCGTTCTCACAGGCCAGAAGTCGAGCGGCAAGACTGGAGGCAGTGTTGCGGGAAGCTCAGGTTCTTTCGTTCACTTCGATTCTTGTGTTTACAAGGTTGCCGATAGAGAACAGCAAATCTTGTTGAAAACGTTCGAAGTGTCCAAGATGAGGAGGTTTACATTTCGTTTTGTTTTTCACACTGTCCTTGTTTGTTGTGGTTTTATGCCAACAACAACAACAACAACAAACAACAAACAAACAACAACAAACAACAACAAACAACAACACTCTTTCCATCCTCCTCTCTCTGATCCTCATCCTGCAACTAACTCTTTCGTCAGCTATCACGAGTCACTCAGGACGCTGCTAGAGCTAACGATGCGGCGAATCTCCTTGAGAGGCACTTGCGCAACATCCAGGTGAGCGCAGAATGTTGAGACAGATCAGAGAAGATCACAAGTCAGCTCAATCGTATCACATCACAATCTCAATTTCATCTCAGCTCAATCTCAATCCTATCTCAATTTCAAACCTCCAAAATCTCAATCTCGTTCTCGTTCTCGTTCTCGTTCTCGTTCTCGTTCTCGTTCTCGTTCTCGTTCTCGTTCTAAACTTTACCATCAAACTGATTTGCTTTTGCCAGACTGATGTGAGGAGGGAAAAAGCCATCGAAGCCCTTCGAGACACAGAATCTAAAGTCTGTTTCACATCTTGCATTCTCTTCATCATCTCACTTTCCTGCCAAGATAAATTTCACGATGAAGGAGTCCATGGACCTTGTCTCAGAGATCGAACAAACCTTGACAAGTCGTGATTTCTCTTTTCTCCTCTCAGTTCTGACGCTTCTCATGAAAGATCTCGCCGATGACAAGGAGGAAATCCTCGTCAAGGCAGCAGAAGTTCAGGTATTTAATCGTCATCATCATCATCAGCAGCAGCAGCAGCAGCAGCTGCTGCTGCTGCTGCTGCTGCTGCATCATAATCATAATCCTCCACCACCACCACCACCACCACCTCCTCCTCCTCCTCCTCCTTCTCGTCGTCGTCGTCGTCATCATCATCATCATCATCATCATCATCCTACTGCTTCCTCCCTCCCTCTTTTCATCTCCTTGTCTCTGATCCTGACGCGATCTCTCACTTCCCTTCTGTCTGACTCTTCCTCTTCCACCCTTCCCACTCTGTCCTCTTCCCCCCCTCTCTCCGCCCCGCCCCGCCCCCCTTCCCTCATTTCTTTCCCTTCCCTTCCCTCCCCTGCCCTCCCCTCTCATTCTCTTCCTCGTTTCCTCTCACTCTACTTGATCTCTTCAGCTACAACTGGATGAACAAGAGGCTGCGATGATAGCAAGCATAAGATCGCAGATCTCCACCATCAGAGGGAGATTGCGCGCCGTGGTGCAGGTAGACAAGAAATCTCAACTCCTTGCATGCTGACAAGCACCAACAGCAACGATCCGAGGGATTCGAGCACACCATGATCCGGTTGAGGGAGGTAAACACCAAACCCTCTGACTGCGTTGCAAAGAGAGATTATGACTCTCTATGATGTGTGACGTTCCTTTCCTTGCTCCTTGACGAGCTTGTCTTTCAAGTCGTCGGAGGAGATCGTGAAGGCGCAAGCTGAAATCCACGAGCGATGCGACGCAGCGAAATCGTTTGACAAGTCAACATGCGACGAGAGCTCAATCCATGAGGTCGGTTGACCCGTTCCTTGACGTCTCAACGGCTGAGGCCGATGGTGCGAGCAGGTGAACCTGGACCTGCATCAGAGGAACGACGAGATGAAGCGGAAAATGAAGCTCATCCGACCCTTCCTCGAACTCAGACACGACTCCCAGTACATCTCCCCCTGCCCCGCCCCGCTCCCTCTTCCCTATCTCCCTCTCCCTCCTCTCCCTCTCCCTCCTCTCCCTCTCCCTCCCTCCTCTCCCTCTCCCTCCCTCCTCTCCCCTCTCCCTCCCATCTCCTCAGAAGCATCCCTGACATGAATCAGGCTGGAACTTCAAGTCGACCCGATCTTTCAGAGCAACTTCTCCTCCCTCCTTGTTCACGCCTTCGCCCTCTCCTCGGACCAGGATGACAAGCCCAGCCCGCGAACTTCTTGCTTGTCAAAGTCGCAGGACCACTCGACGCCGTCCCGATCTCCGCCCGTCAGGTTTGACAACAGCGGTCAAATGTCAGAGATGGTTGAAGACGTCAAAACTGGGATGTCAAAGTTGATGATCTCGAAAGAGACCAGCTGGAGACCAGCTGGACTCAGCGAGTCTCCGATCCTGCTAGACAAGTCTGCCTCTTTGAACGGGTCGACGAGCAAGAGCCCCGGTTCTCCTTCTCGTCAGCTCCTCGACCTGCCGCAGGAGATTTCTCAGCTCGTGAGCTCTCTAAAAACAACGGTGAGAGGAGGGCTGTATGGAGACGAAGGTGCAATGAGATGAAGAGAAGAGAAGAGAAGAGAAGGAGAGAAGAGAAGGAAGAGAAGAGAAGAGAAGACGAGGCCAGACGAGATGAAGATAAGAGATGAGAATTTTCAATGGTTGAGCATCTTACAAGACTGTTTGTCTGACATCGTGGTACCTTAGCAAGCAAACAGGAAGGAGATGTCTGTGTTGCCGGTGACTTTCCAACCTGATGGAGGTTGAACTGGTGGTTGCTCCCTTGACGAGCTGACGTTGAGAAGGAGAATTCTTTCACACCGTCGAGATTGAACTTGTTCACAATTCTTCAGACACGACCATCTTCTACAGGTTGGTCAAGTTCTCTGTCTACTTGTTTTCTGTTCTAATTGCTAATCTCACACCTTGCCCCTTGCTCTCGCAGCGTGACTGGCTCGATGAAGAATGATGTCAGCCTGAGGAAGTTGGAAGGAAATAAGATCAAGGTGAAGAAAACTCTTCGACTCAAAGCCATCTGAGTTGTCCAAAGATTGAGAACAACATCCCCGGGAATCTCGACTGTTTCAAAGTGAGCGCTGTTGCTTTCGGGTCAAACTCAAAGGTGCGTTTGCCCACTGCGCTGCCTGCTCCTCCGGTCTCATCGTCCTTGACAGACTTCACCCATCAGCATGTCACAAGAGTTCAAGTTGTTCAGCATCCTTCCTTTCCAATGGGACCTCACGTCCTCTTTAGACTTGTGAATGGCTGAGCCTTCTGACTAGTTTGCACGCAGCACCGCTACCAACGGCCTTCAAGCGTCTAACGCCATACAGGTCCGCTGCTGCTGCTGCTGCTGCTCCTCCTCCTCCTCCTC